GGCAACGCTGCGCCATCGTGCACACCTGCGCTAATGGACGCGCGCGGCATGTCCCTCAAACCTGGCAGGGCACCATGAAACACGTCACGTGGGCAAAGAATCCGCACCAACGGAGGCGGCTCGCAAGCCCCTTTGGCGGCCATCCCCTCGGCCACGCAGACGCCGTGGGGGGCCCCTCGCGAGCTTCGGCCTATGCCCACCCGTCAACTCATTGCTTGCGTGCGTGTGCGTGCGCGTACTTTTGAAGAAAAGTATACCACAAAGAAGAAGAGAAAAGGGAAAGGCGCAGGCACAGACGATATAGGATAAAAGGAAAAAACAAAAACCTGCAGTTCTCCACACGGCAAAAAATGGATCAATGAATGAAGAGGGACAAGGAAGGAATTGATTTATTGAGCTTGTTTTTTTCCTTCTTTTAGTTGGAACGCAGTAATGCGAAACAGCAGGCAAAGACGAATCTTTTCAAGAAGTTTACCGCAGGCGTCTGTGGACGCGGTCGATGCCTTTGAGCCCGTCCACGTGCAGCCGCCGGCCCCACGAAAAAGCATTTAAAAAAAAAGAGCTATGGGTGCATCAGACCAGTGAATATGCCAGCTTCTGGTTAAACACAACGTAGGTGCTCAGCAGCTGTAGGGCGTATATGGGAATGATGATAACCAGAGTAATGACCGACACGCGCCACCAACAGCCCCAGGAGAAAAAGAAGTTTTGGTCAATCGTTTCAGGCAGCACCAAAACAGCCACAAAGTAGGAAGCAATGGAAAAACATTCAGCGGCGATGAACAAATAAAGATGCCTTCGACGCTGCTTCCAAAGTATGCGGAGATGTGCTGTGCAGGCCACGATGATGAGCTCCGTCAGCAACAGCGAGGTGTAGACGACTGCCATGATCTGAAATAACTCCTCGCTGAAGAGCTCAAGTGAGAACAGCATCGTGATTCCTCCCTGAAAAAAGGAAATCCATGCCCACTGCAGAAAGGACCGTGCATTCATGGACCGAGACTTTAAGAGCTCCTTGTAATGCTGCGGAAACTCACTGACGTCCTCCTCCCTTATGTCCTCATCGAGGACCAGCGCAAAGACGGGTGCCATTGTAAAGATCGTGGTGTACCCCATAAGAAGATATCCGTTAAAAACGGACATGGTGGTGCCTGCGAAAAGAAGAGAAAAGAACGCTTGCACCGCCGAGTACACCATACCCCGGTGCATGATGAACTGACTCATACGGCACGTACGACGATAGGAGCTACGCCCATGCCAAATTATAAGACGCACACAATGCGCAAACTTCGTGATGGAAAAGTCCGCCGCCATGCTGGCCTGTTTTCCCTCGACACCCTCCACACCAATACCAACGTCGGCAGCAAGTATCATTGAGACATCATTTCCTCCATCTCCGATAGCCGCCACACGAACCGTCTTATCGCAGTACTCGCGCATGGCGTGAACAACGGTCGCCTTTTGCGTAGGCGAACAACGTGCCACAATCACGGAGTACGCCGTTCGGGACACCTCAATAAAGCTTCTGCCCATGGGCCCTGCCAGGCAAAAGGAAAGCGAGATGCCATCCAAAATAAGCGTCCATGGTGTGCTGCTGCCGCCCCTGTGCGACAGCGGAAGGTAACGAAGCCGAAGCGTATCTAAAAGCTGCTGAGCCTCTTCTTCGGAAGAAGCCGCCATGACCTCCACCGCGCCCTGGCGTGGAATAAGCCGCGTCGAACGGCCAATGGTGGTGGCCGTCTCCACCTTGTCACCCGTTAAGATCCAGACCTTAATGCCAGCCATCCCTAAAGTCTCAATTGACGTCGTGACGTCGTCTTGCAGCTCATCCTCCACACCCGTGACGCAAAGCAACTTCATGTCCTTTTCAATTAGACACATGGCCGCATCCAAGGAACTACAACGTGTATCGCCCAACTCGGCGTTGGCTTCATTATACTTCGCCAAAAACATTGCCAGGTGCTCTTCTGTTAGTGTCCGCTGGGCAAATACTAACGTTCGAAGTCCCACCTGGGAGAATTCTTGACAGCTTTCATACAACCAATCAGAAGGCCGTACAACAGTGGCGATTTTGGTGTCCGCCCCCTTCATCAGATACTTGCACCCCCCCTCGCCACGTTCCCGCCGCTCACGAACGATAATTCCCATGCACTTACGCTCAGAGGTAAATGGAAAGGCCTTAAGAATGTCATACTGCACCGTTCTCCCTCCAGGGGTGGTAAATTGCATACTGTTTACATCCCGCTGCACAAGGGAGATACCGATGGAACTACAGAACTTAACGAACGCCACTTCGTCCGGTGAAGACGCCTGATACTCTAGGCAGCCATCCTCCATCACTGGACTCACGTTGTGGCAGAGCACAAGTGCCAGAAGCGCCTCCCCCACAGATGCGACATCGCGTAGGAAGCTTCGTTGCGAGAGCACAACGCCACCTTTACCAGCACCGGTAGGGTAGGGGTTTCCTACTTCATGTCGCTCGGCAAAAAACGCGGCCATAAGCTTTCTAAAGCGATCCACCTCAGTGTAATTCAAGACTGTGTCGGCACCAACTTGAAGAACGCGAAGCTCCATTTTATTTTTCGTCAGCGTCCCTGTTTTATCCGCAAATAAAAACTGCAGACGACCCAGCTCCTCGGGAAGGTTTGTGCTGCGAACAACGGTTCCGGCTATTTTCGGGTCTCGGTACATCTCATACGAATACCACATGCGCCCCACGTCCACGTTCACGCGCATGGAAATAGGGATGATGACTGACATGAGAATGAGGAAGCGGAGGAACATCACCACCCAGTCCCCCTGAAACTCCTGCAGGAAGACAAGGAAAAATGAGATGACAAAGAGTAGCAGAAAGCAGAGTGCCCCCACGACATTCAATTCAGTTTCTATCAGACCCATCTTTGTGGAGGGTTTACTGGAGTTCATCGCGCTACGCGTGTCAACGCCGGTGTGAAGCACCGCGGCGACCAGAGTGCCTGACGCCACGACGCAGTCTTTCCACAACGTATTTTCAAGCGAAATCGCCTCCGACTCCATGCCCGCGACGTCACACATCCCCGCAAATTTGTAGATGTCTTTATGAAGCGGTTCACAGCGTATGTTCGCGCGGAAGCGACAGAGCGCCTCGTTGCCGAGCGGCTGCGTCGATTTCAAGGCATGTCGCAGCTTCCAGTCGGTTTCACCGTCAAGTTGGTCTGTTCGCACAAAACACGTCCCGCTCCCCTCCGAGGTGCGCAGCAAGACACAGTCGGCCGGAATCCGCTGACCGTGACGCAGCAGCAACAGGTCCCCTACTTGAATGGAGGCCGCCCGCACAACACCCTTTGAGCCGTCGGGAAGAAGGCGCTCCACCTTCTCCTGGTTGGCGGCGTGGTCCCGCCTGTACCGCTGAATGTCATCCACGGCGTCTTTGATCAGCGAAAGCAGCACCACCAGCACCAGCGGCGAGAAGTACGTGAAGATAAACCCAACCTTCAGTGCCGGGATGAGCTGCGAGAAGGCAAGCAGCAAGTAGAAAATGTTAAAAAACGACCGGAACTGATGAAACAAAGAGAGCGGTAGAAACGTCAAGAGAGTATAGCGCCTGTTGTTGATCGCGTTGCTTGGGTACCCTCGGCCCGACCACGCCGCCGCCTCACACCCAAGAGCTATCGTCCGCGGCTCAGTCACGTCCGCCACATCCATGTTGAGCCACCCCCTCACGCGCCGCCCGCAACTGCGGTGCTTCCTCGGCGGAATCGGCAAACACAGCGGAGCCTCATCGGCGTTTCTGCCGCCATTCACACTGTCATACAGATTCACCATCGACAGAGACTCTTCCATAAGGGCTTACGGGCACGAAAAAGAAAGAGGGTGAATCGAGCCAAGAAGATACACAAAAACAGAAAAAAAATCAGTGATGTAAGCAAATAATAATAATAATAATAATAACAGACCCATCAATACAAACAACAAGAAGCAAGCGTAAGTGGGAGCGAGACAACAACCTCTGAGCTCCTGCCAAAACACCTCCAAACTCGTCAGACGCAGGCAATAAATTTTAAAACAAAGGGCGCTTCGAAAAAAAAAAATGTTCTGCAGTTCGACACTCAAGATATCGCCACAGAAATGAGACAATTCCCCCCATCAACTCAAGATCCAGCCGCAGGCGGCACACATGTGCGGGGCGACCCCTTGTGACGAACCACCGCTTTTCAAGACGCATCACCTACCGAGTGCACCCACCTGCGCAAGCACCAATGGCGGCGGCGCGACAACACTAGCCCGTACCGCGGCTTCTGTCGCCACAGCAGGGCCCACCGTCGAGCAAGGCCCCACATAGCTCCGCTCAACCCACGCCGGCGCCGTGAACGCCTTGCTGGAGCCGAAGAGGCCAGCCAAGCACAGGGACTCGCAGATGGGCGGCGGGAGCGTCGCGC